AGTATTTTCCAAAGGATTATTTGTGGAAGAGCACTGAAGCACCTACCACCCAGTAAAAGGTATGTATCCAGATGGGGACACGCATCCCCTTCACTTCCCAGGAGTCATCAACATCACAGGACTAGCCCATACTTCAGCAACAGGGGCAGCCATTACCACTGAGAGGCCAGCATACGCAGAACACACTCATGAATATGTTGCTGCCCTGGGAAACTCCCTGCTTTCCTGACAATACAGCCCCAGAAGGCAGTTACTTTTCCAGAAAATATTCACCTTGTAGCAGCTCAAGCTGGCTGAGGTAGAAGCTGGGTCTAGGACAGCTCAGCTGGTCTCTAATAGTCTGGAAAAAGCTGAAGATGGGATAACTGTTTATAGACAACTGTTTTTGCTGAGCTACATGGGCCTTAGATGAAAGAAATAGAAACAAGCCTAAAAATAAGTTCCTAGCCACCCAGTTCTTTTATGTATCCCAAATACACAAAGACCAAATCTATCTTTCAAAAACAACTGTTAATTTCTTCTCATTAGCCATAATGGATTAAACAACAACAACAACAAAAATCTCAATTCTGTACCTGGGTCTAATCTCACCACCAGATATAGCATAAAGGCAGCCAAGAACATCTTTTTGTAAGGAATTAAATGGAAGTGGCTTGATATGGACCTCAGTGCTCTACGGAGCAATGTCAACATGGTCAAGAGCTTTTGGGGCAGAGTACCTAGAACACAAGAACAAAAAGGCTGTTAGGGCAAAGGAGAGTGGAGAAAAAGTCACTCAGAATAATCGGCAGAGATGCCATCCATGTCACCTAACTGCAGACATGTCTTAGTTTGATCACATGAATCTCTTTTATAGAGAACAGAGAGAAAGAATACAATTTTAGGGTTCAACTCACCAATCATTTTTAGGTATCCACTTTAAGAGAGATGAACTTATACCATAGCAGTGTAAATATCTCTGCTAGGAGACAACTTCAATTGATTTAGTTCTCGAGGACAACTAGTACTTTCAATGCTAAACATGGCTTGCTCTACGTGGGCTTAATTGTTAATGGATGCAGCTACACATACCCTTAAAGGATACACCTGTTATAGTTGCCTGTTTGTACTTTTATACATTTATTTTGAAATGTTTTCGAAGCTTTAAAATAATTCTCATCTTCCAACATTGCTAGAGATTAAAATTGTAATTCTCAGCACATGGATCTGCAAGTCTTTCATTGCCTTCTGTGACATATTCCAATCCTTCTGTGACTACCTCATGGCTGGCATATCCTGGCATTATTATTTATACACAGTTACTACTTGCTTGCCAGTTAGGTAGTACTACAGCTCCATTAGAGACAGATGGAATGGGACTTACAGTACCCAGGTATTTGATTTGATAATGCTAACTTATGTAAGGAAGTGTTCCCTAATATGGTCAGATTGTGGTCTCACTACAGACTTAAGCAAAAGGAAAAAAAAAAGACGATACAGAAGAGGCATTTCTGGCAAGAGGATGCATTATTTCCTTCCTAGAGCATTGTTCTGAATCTGCTGTTGCACAGCAACAAGACACAGAATCGTAGAATCATTATCGTTGGAAAAGACCATCAAGATCATCAAGACCAATTGTAAACCCATCACCACTATGCCTGCTAAACTATGTCCCTAAGTGCCTCATCTACACATTTCTTGAACACTGCCAGGGATGGTGACTCCACCACTTCTTGGGCAGCCTGTTCCAATGCTTCACCACTCTTTCTGGGTAGAAATTCTTTCTAATGTCTAACCTGAACCTTCCCTAGTGCAACTTGCAACCATCTCTCCTTGTCCTATCAGTAGCAATTTTGGAGAAGAAACCAACCCCCACCTCACTACAATCTCCTTTCAGGTAATTGTAGAGAGCAATAAGGTCTCCCTGAGCCTGCTTTTCTCCAGACCAAATAACCCCAGCTCCCTCAGCCGTTCCAGCCCCTTCACCAGCTTCCTTGCCTCTCTTTGGGCATGTTCCAGTGCCTCAAGGTCTTTCTTGTAGTGAGGGGCCCAAAACTGAACACAGTATTCAAGGTGCGGCCTAACATGGAAACTGTTTTCATGCTGTGTCCACAGAGGGTGGACTACTTCCAGTGAAATAATCATCAACAACTAGGCTAAAAAACAGCTGTTACTTTTGGAGCTTGTTTCCCTTCTTGGTGTGTCAGTGACAGTTTGCTGTCTGCACACACTGAAAAGTCCTGAGTGATGAAGCTTTTTCACTGGGCACAGGTTGGGGATGGTTTATCACATTACCAAGAAGGGAACAGGTAGTCCCTAGATAATAGAAATAGAACACAGATTTATATTACAATCTCAACTGAAGCATTTTGATGATATTTAAGATAAACAGATTTCTAAAACATGGAAAGAGGAAAAAAAGGAAAGGAAATTGCAAACAATGGAAGAAAAGTCTACCCAGAACTGTCTCTCTTGAGGTGCCCTGCTGCCCTTCAGCAGCAGAGTGCATCTCTTCTTGTTGAGTCCACTGACATTGGCTTTCACAAATGGTCCTGAGAAGTGCTAGCTGTTGCACACTGTCCAAGACTTCGCAGCCCCGTACAAGCTCTTCTGCCCCCTCAAACTGGCCCAGGGGAAGCAAAACACGCAACAGGTAGAGCTCCAGCAATGAACCATACTCAGGGAGGCTCCTATTGGTTATGTCTCTCAGCCAGCTACTGCCAACCTCCAGCATGACCTGCGGCTCTCTCACTCTGCTATATAACAGGATACTGGAACACAAGAGAAATAAGTATTAAAAACACTCTATCTTTTAAAATTGAGATGACTGACAGTTATTACTCACAAACAGCTACCATCTAGGCATGAGTCAAGGTCTACACTCTGGACAAAGGAAAAGAGATTTCCAAGACAGACAGTGGCTGCAGCCACTGATGTTACCCTCTCAGAGCCACCCAGTGTGCTCCTTATCACTCTAAAGCACTCTGCTGGCTTGCAGGCACACATGGGCACGCACAGGTCCACATGCTCCCAAGGGCAGCCTCTTAGCAGGCTCACAGTGGCTATCAGGTAAACATGCATTTGGAGAACAAAAGGTTCTACAAAAGAAACCAATTCAGCTTCTTTTACCTTTTTCTTTTTCCCCCAAAAAAACATAGTTGTCTCTGGTTCCACTTTCATCCTGGTTTACAGCATGCAAAGTAAAGCTACCATATGTTATTCTAGTACCGCTCTGGGCACAGCAGCCACAGGGAGAAACTCACCACAGCTCCAGCACCTTGGCAGGCAGATGCTCTGGGACCTGATAGTACTGCAGGACCCATGGCAGAACTTCCCGCCAGCGGTTCATCTCCGCCAGGGCCTGAATCCCCACAATGCAGAGGGAGCACTTCACTTCAGCAGAGCTGCAAACGAAGACGGGTGCTTTCTAAATGCATGCTTCCCACTGCCAAGCCTCCCCTCCGCCTTTCCAAGGGAGGTGCACTCCTACCCCAGGAAACACGTTGTTAAGCCCCCCTCCAAAAAAAATAAAAATAAATAAACTCGTAAAGCAAACAAATGTGGCAAAAAGAAAAAACAAACAAAACACAAACAGAAAACCAGACACAAGTCAGGCAGCTCCCAAAGCAGCCTGAAACCCCAGGAGCTTCTAACCAGCCCGGCCCCAGCCCCAGGTCGCCCTGTACC